AACATGTGAATCAAATTTCTGGCAACCTTAAAATATGTGAATTGCAAAATAATCATATTCATGGCTACTTCTCACATCTTGTATAGATCTATAATGGTTTCTTTAAGAAAATAAAGGAAAATGGCCAACTCAGAAGTCTCTTTCACAGCATTGTTATAACCAGCATGTAACGAGTCCTCTGATTGGTCAATAGAGGAGCCGACGATAGTCCTGCCTCGTTTACACCTTGGTGGACAATTTAAAGATTCTCTCTCGACGAATGACCCTGGAACGGTGAAAATGTACTGAGCCGTCTGCGAAAATGTCAACGGATATGTATGTATCATTTGAATTTCTAATTTATATATATATATATATATATATATAATACTTCATGTTATTTTAATTTAACGTTTCTTTTGTTGTGACCGGTTGTTAAAAGTGGATCCATATTTTGTTTAATTGTAATGGTGTGCGCAACAGATTTCTTTCCATGTAATGGCCGTAATTATATTTTTTCTCTCTGATTGCATGTCAACACGTCTGTTTGCTTTTTCTGATAACTTGGGGGCAACTCATACAACAAGAATCAAAGGCATAATAATAATAATAATAGACAGAAAAATCAAAGATAATCCCCCAGATATAGTGATCAAAGCCCCCCCCCTCCAAAGAAAACAGAATATGACAGTTCCTGCAGACTGTAACATATCTGCCCATATATGGCAACAGTATTCCATTTTGGCCTAATCCAAAAGGTAGATTAAAGGTAGAGGATAGCAAAAGGAGCCTTGAGGGGTGTTTCATTCAACAACAATGTAGATCTTAAAACGTGACTTGATTTCTCTCATCTAGGCATTGTACAGTTAGTGGGTCGTTGGTTGTAAACAATGAAGGGGGGATACATTGTTTAGAACTATTAATAAATAATAAGTATTAAAAATAAAGAACTATTAATAAATAATAAGTATTAAAATAAATTATAAAAAACGAACAAATTTATGACAACATAATATTTTACATGATTACAGTAATAAAACAGAAGGTCACTGGGACCTTATTACAATACTTCCTTCTTCGGCAGTAGTATTATTAGTAACAGTATTAGTAATAATAATATTATAATAATAGTGTTCAATATCTGCACTGGAAAATCTGCAACTTTTACGGAAAGGAAACTACTAGAAAATGGTATTAATATCACCCAGACCCGGTTACAGAGATTGGGACATATAACAAATTTATGGAACTTTTTGCAATACAATCAAAGCCAATCGCCCATAAATCGTGGTCAAACACCACAAGAACAGAATGTGCTTTCTTATTGGCATGGCAATCTCTACCGGCTGTAATGTACCTATTTCCAGGAATATTTTTTTAACAAGAAAAATCTCAAGTTAATGTTAAAAATTGCCTCAAAACATTGTTGATTTATTTAAGATGGAATGATCTATTTAATAGTGTTCAAATAAATTAATGCTGCATGTTGCTGCAAAATGTAACAAAATTAAATTTTGTTATATTAAAATATTAATTTTACATGTAAATGGAAACAGTAATAGTATTTAACAAATAGTTTTATTGTCAATTACACACACAGGATTTTTTAATACACACTTAATGAGAAGGATGTGTTTGCTTGGCTTTGCACAAACTGTCAATTCTTGGCGATATTACTGATAAACATACACGTAAGTCACTTTCTGGAGCAAGTCTGGATCTGTATTTGTTTTTCAGGTTATCTTGTCCTTGCGGACCCCCCTTTGAAAACCCCTGATCTATTATGACATGTCTCTAATAATTTGTATTCAGATACACTGTATTCATTTTCAGTTTTTCTCGTTAAATTGTTCATCTCCATTGCATATGATCCATTATTGTACATAATTACAATAAAATCTGTGTTTTACATGAATACTACCTTATGAAAATTGAGATGTAGTGGTGGTGCGTATTATATATAACAATTGAGTTGTATCATAGTGGAGGGGTGTCATAGATTGAGAGGGGGGAACGAAACCCTTGCACCAGCCCAGCTTGTAGTAATTAATCTAATGACATACATTATACTTTTACAAATAGTTAATTTTTTCACAGACTCATATTCTGAACAGCAAATCTCAATTATAGAAAAGTGAAAGCTCAAATACGAATTACTGAACTTTCTACCATTCCAAAAAATCGTTTTAAAAATCATCAGCCATTGTTCGTTTGTTTTCCAAGATACCCATCACGTTTTCTGGATGCGATCGTGAATAATGCCACGTCATAGCAACTCTCAAAGCAACGAGACTTCCATGGTGGCGCCCATCTCCACTTCGAATAACAGACGACAGGTTGTGCTGGGTTACACAATAAAGAACATAATATTCACAAAAGGTTTGTACAATTAAAGAGGGAAATAAATTCCGACAGTTTTGTAAATAATTTCTTAATATCAGTTTTTTTTTTCTTTTTTTTCTGCAGATTTTTAAAATATTTTCAGGAGGTCACCAATCTTGACAATGTTGTAAAAAAAAAAAAAATTAAATATTGAAAAAGATCCATAACAACCAACTTCAATAAAAGTAAAAAAAAATTAAATTTAGTTTCTTCGTTGGCAAAAGTAACAGAAACACGTTTTCATTTCTGATTTATTATTCAAACTGCTTTTAACTCGTCGTTAATGTCATGTTTAATGGGTGTCGGTTATCTCCTGTTAATTCCCCTCTGAAAGTACTCCACTGCCTTAAGCGGGTATTGAACTCACACTCTGGGTCCTGTCACTGGATTTAACTAACGCCTTTACCCACTGTGCCATGTGTTCTCGAGTTCAATACCCGCTTAAGGCAGTGGAGAAATTTCAAAGGGGAATTAACAGGAGATAACTGGCATGGCACGTGGAACGAGAACAGTCTACTCCAGTGAGCAAAATAAAGGGTTCAGTTCGATATTCCAACCACCTGAAGAAGGTCAGAGTGTACAACGGCTGAAACGTTGTAATAAATATGGCCACAAAGATGAGAACAATAGTCCGAATAATGTAAATAATGTACATAATACCTCATCTCAGAAATATCGACAGATAGTAATGACTCATTACAAAAGTACAATATGTGTTCCCATACTTGAAGAAGGCTAAAGAATGGATCGGCTGATATCTTAAGTTGATAACAAAAGCAACAGAAAGAATAAGATTAATAGCCGAAACAATTCTTGAAATCATAATATCTAAATTAAAAAAATGCATCATTGGTCACCTGAAGAAGACAGTAGAATAGATCTGCTGAAATCTTTGCAACAAAATAAGATCCAAACAACTTTTGAAATATTTACACTATTTACATTGTTTTCCTCGTTTTTGTTATCATATTCACGACGTTTCGGCCATTGTACGCTCCAGCCTTCATCAGTTGATTGAAATTTCAAATCAAACCCTTTATTTCATCCACCGGGGTAGGTTGTTCTCATTCCACATGCCACGCCTTTTCTGGATATCTCTGCTTCAATTATTTCCCTTTAGTAACTCAACTCTGCAAGTTTTTGTTCACTTCTGCTGTGGCCAGGTATTGAAGTCAACGTGAAACTAGAACAATATATTTTTTTGAAATAAAGAGTTCAATTTGAAATTCCAATCACCTGAAGAAAGCTAGTGTGTACAATGGCTGAAACGTCATGAATATGCCAACAAAGATGAGGGCAACAGTTTGAACAATGTAAATAGATACAACACTTCATCTCAGAAATATGGATGACTTTTGAAATGATAATATCTAAATTACAGATGTACAAGTGGTGTAGTGGATAATGGCTCAGAATTGGAAATTCCATTCAGGTATGTTATATTCAGTTAAGCTCGATTACACTTGAAACCAGCTCTTAATTGCTGTTGTTCCCTGGTCCAAAATGGCCCAGAGTGGTAGTACCAGTTGGGGTCCCAGCTATGGGTGAATAGTGAATTCCGAATCAAAATACAAAGAACATATAATAATACATTTTTACAGTAAAATGACCGACAATACATTTTTATCATCTACAATCTATATATCTCAAAAAACATACCCTTATTCTGAAAGTGTAAAGTTTGCATACAAAATACTTAGATTTCAGCATTAAATCTCTAAAAGGAGCTTCAATCGGTTGTGGACTAGGGCAGGAATTGGCTGGTTAACTTTAATGCCTCAAAAAACAAAACTGCTATCTATTACTCATCACAGAGAACCATCCCTGCACCCCCATTAGAATGTCTGACGCTCAGCTCCACAAGAGCACCTCTTTGTGACTATTCGGTCTCACATTGACTGCTGACCTGAGATGAAACAAATACATTGAGTCAATAGCTTCATCCACTGCAAGGAAAGTCGGCTCCCTGTGCCACACCAGGAAATTTTTCTCACCGAGTCAATCCTTCAAATCTACAAATCAACTATTTGCCCTTGCATGGAATATTGCTGCCATATATGGTCTGGTGCCCCTTCTGTTTGTCTCAAGGTCCTTGATAAAATCCAGAGACGGATATGTAATGTAATTGGCCCTGATCTGGCATCTTGTCTGCAGTCACTCTCTGACAGACATGCCATCGCCTCCCTCTGTCTTTTTTACAAATACTTTCACGGTAACTGCTCCAATGAGTTGCTTTCGCTGGTTCCCAGATTTCATGAATTTAAGCATTCAACTAGGCTGGGATCTTGCTCTCATCCTTTCACTGTCAAAACTGTTAAATGTAGCTGTCTCTTCTACTCCAATAGTTTTATGTCTCGCATTTCTCCCCTGTGGAACTCCCTCCCCTTTTCCTGTTTCCCTGATAGCTATAATCTCCAACTATTCAAATGTAATGTCAATCGACACTTGCAGATGCCTTGATCTATCCCCTATCCTTCTCTTCATCCTTTCCTCTATCATTCCTATTTGCTCTTGCTCCAACTCTCTGTAACCCTTTGCATGTTAGTGGCTTCCCGCCTTGCTTGGGATGAAATGCTTAAAAAAAAAAAAAACATAACCCATAGAGATTAAAAGAGCTCCCATTTTTAAAATGATAAGGCTTACAGCCATATCACATTGAAACACTGGCTTGCGTACAATCACCAAAGATAAGCAATGTTGAGCCAGGTCAGTATGTAGATGGGTGACCACTTGGGAATACTAAGTGCTCTAAACATGGATGTGTGGGTGGTGTCATGGATAATGGCTTGGAATTCGAGGTTAGAGAGCCAAGTTCTAATTCCAGTCAGGTTCTTTATACTCACTTGCACACAAATACCCTTGGGAAGGGTATGAATCCTCCTGTTCTACCCCAGCTATGGGTGAATTAGTAAAACTGGTATCATTAAAAAAATAATTGTATAACATTCAGTCTTGCTTTTGAAATTACACCTATCTTTATCTATCTTCGAAACGTCTCTTCCTGGTGTTAATTATATTTCCTTTTTGTTTCCATTTTCTACAAAACTTCACCATTGTTCACATGTTCAGTACATATTATCCTCAGCATTCTTCTGTAGAACCACATTACTGTTGCTTAAAGTCTCTTTTTCATCTTTGGGGAGATTGTCTAGCACTCACTGCCATACAGGAGGACAAATATCACGTAACAGTTTAGTATTCTTTTCCTTGTTTCTAGCAAAATTTTCCGATTTCTTAATATATTGCTTAGCTTTTGGAATGCATCTTTGGTTATCCGAATACACCTTCAGATTTCAGTATCACACATCCTGTTCACTGTTAAAAAACTTCCCAGATATTTAAATCTTTGTACTTGTTTGATTTTTGTATCTCTGATTTGCAATTTGCATGTTTTGTCTTTTCCTTTTACTGATAACCATTTAACCATTTTGTCTTCTTGCAATTGAGGCATAGTCTTTTCTTCTTGCTTTCCTTCACTACCTTCTGTAGTAGTTCTTGTAGTTTACTTCCTGTTTCAACCAGAAATTCTGTCTTCTAGTCAATTGAAATTTCCACACAATGAAGCAGATGAAAGGATTAAATCTCTACATTAATCTGTAATCTGCATAGAATTTTGTATAAAAAAAAAACAAAAAAACTTATGACGCAAGTGATATCACAACCGTTCAATTCAAATATGGATTAATTGACTCATTGATAAATGTGAAAGGCAATGAATACCAGTAGTTCTTGCAAAATCTGAAAGAAATATTTTCCAACACCACAAGACAAGTAGACAAAGTTGGATTTATCAAGTTTCACAATGCTAACATGAACTGAGATGAATTTGGAAATTACAATTATTATTTTATTGTTTAGTGGACAGAAATTTCTCAGATTTTTCAGAAACAACAGCCCATAATTTGTAATAATTAACAAGGTCTAATTATTGAAATTTGAATACCATATTTAAGAAATAAAGAATAAGCCTCCAGGGTAAGATGAAAGAAATAAAGTCCAAAATGAATAATAATTGACAATGCCTCATCTAAGACATTTGAATCCAAATACTACTAGCAATAAAGCATATTTAAGTAAAAAAAATAAAGCCTTGAATAAAAGCAAGAGAAATAAGATGAAGATACTAGTCCAAAATGAATAATAATTGAGTCCATCTAAGAAATTTGAATCCTATTAATAACTAAATAAAAGCATATTTAAGTAAGCAGGTGAATAAGCAATAAAAAGCAAGAGAAATAAGAAAAGAAATTTAATAAACAATGCTTCATCTAAAATATGAATCCTATTAATACTACTAATAAAGCATATTTAAGTAGATAAACCTTGAATAAAAAAGCACTAGTAATAAAGAATATTTAAGTAAAAAGCAGGGCAGATGAGAAATAAAGAATAATACTACTAGTAATAAAGCATATTTAAGTAAGCAGGGCAGATGATAAAAAATAAGCAAGAGAAATATGATGAAAGAAATACTAGTCCAAAATGAATAATAATTGACAATGCTTCATCTAAGAAATATGAATCCTATTAATACTACGGGTAATATTAATGTAATAAATAATATACCTATAAAAACCAAGAGAAATAAGAATTTTATCAACTTTGTATTTTGGCTCGTAATTTTAAGCCAGACCTGAATCATTAAGAAGTTATTATTATTATTATGATCACAAGATCTTGTCATTGGCAAATGGATAGCAATTCTTTCATTGCAGTTCTGGTCCCCCCCCCCCACAAAAAAAATATACTTAATTTTTGCAAAATGCATGTAACAAAAAAAAAATTTAAAATACAGGAACATATAATGGAAAATTAGATCTCCCTGCACCCGAAAATATTCACCAATGCTTCTTTTTCAATTGCATAAGATAATTAGTACTTGAGGCAACAATGATAACCAAGTATGCACAATAAATACTAGTTTCAACTATCATTTGATTAGTACCTCTATCATTTGATTACAACCACACATTTGCCTTGCCACTCCTTTTTTTTGCTCTCTCTCAACCCAGCCATCCAATTTGATGACATTCTTTTATGAAAACAATGTTGATACATGACAAAGCCTAAATTTACTAGTCCAATTATATACTGAAATACAACCAGCAACTGGGTTCATTTTTATGATTATTAAAAACTTTCTATGCAAGATATCCACGCAGATATTAAGATAATTTGTAGTGAATCAACCCATGTTCTAATGGTACTAGTTTCTATTTATTTATTAATTTGCTTGTTTAACGGCATATCAATTCCTTCATGGGTCATTTAATGCCAAAATTGAATTTTCTTGGAAGCTTTGAAGTAATAAAAATAGAATAGGTTATTCTGCTTTCACAAGTGAATACATGGTAGATGATACTCAGCTTTTGTGAATATACATGTTTGTGCAGACATAATTACTAAAGGTAGTGATTTGTTGTAGTTTTGTTGAAGTTATATTTTGGAATGCAGTTTGATTTCTTTAAGAAATTTTAGGATCTTATATAAATTAAATGTCATGAAAGAGTTTTTTCATGTTGGTTGCTTGATTTTGTTTAGCGGCATACCAACCCCTCTATGAGTGAAATGCTGAAATCTAAATATTTTGAATACAATTTTATGACTTCAACTAAATATATACTATAAATATGTATTGTTGGTTGGTTGATTTTGTTTAGCGGCATATCAACCTCTGAGTTATTTAATGCCGAAATCTAAATATTTTGAGCACAATTTTATGGCTTCAACTACAGATGAAATGTAATGTTGGTCATTTTGCTATAAAATGTATTGTTGGTAATTCTGATTTAAAAATCTAGTGTTGGTAATTTTTACTATAGAAATGTATTTTTATACTTTTATAGGGTTTTGTTTTTGTTTGTGGGTGGTAACTATTTACCCATTGCTGGGACTCTAACAGGTGCAACCACCCTGGGTCAGGGTGGACCTAAGTACAACAATTAAGAGGTAGTTCCACCCACCTCAAAATCTCCAATCTCCAAATCAGAGGCTTTGCTGCCGAATGTAGTTCATGATCATTCCCGGGTCTTATCACTCATTTCAACTGATACCTTTTGACCCATACATCTTAGTGAAATATGTTGGAAAATTTCAAAGTGTTCTTCTGAAATCAGGAACTCCAAACTAATATTTTGGTCACAATATAAGAAAAAAAGAATGTGACTGTTTAATCCTAATCCTCAAACTGACACCTTTGTTTTCCCCTATATCTAAACTATGATCACCCTCCCTTTGTTTGCTTGCACAACCATCATGTCCTGCCAATACCTCATAAATAATGGATGATCGAGGGGGAAAGACCCTACTTGGTTTCAGTGAGAAAATGAAAGAAGGGAAGAGAGAAGTGTGGAGAGAGAATCAGATTAAGTTGATAAAAAAAGATATACTACACTTTGATCCTAGCAAAAAGGCCGAGAAGTGAGTGTATTTACTTGGTGCCCCCACACTGGAAGAATGTCACATAAGCTCAGTTTAATATGGAGATCCCGATCGTGTGCATCCACGTCAGGTCCTAAAATAGCTCAGCCTCCATGTCTGTTAGTTGCACTGGTATTGGTATTACTTTTGATCCCCACCCCTTAAAGGATGTAATGCAGCAAGCAGCTGTTTCCCAAGACTGGGAACCTCTCAATAACATTTTCACTTACGCTCTATCTGTAGACAGATATACAACTGAGATGAAATCTAGTTTATCAGCACAAGGACAGATACTACACTTTGATCTCAGCCCAAAGGGCCAAGGGTATTTTCCAGCATGCCCATGTCACTACTGAATATGATGACAGGTTGAGGTTTAAAGTAAGTTTAACGGCAATACCATGGAAACATTATCCAAGCTCCCTTGGCACTTCCCATTTGGGAATATCTCAAGCACTGGGCAATAAATCCAGCCCACTCCTAAAGGAGAGATACTGCCTTGTGGAAAGGCCACCTGGTGCTTGCACTTAAAATTATTTGAACCTTTCTGAGCCAAAAGGGGAGAGAAGCCACGATAACCATGATAAAAACACCATTTTTCAGATGCATAGTATCAAACCAAGTAAGCTAATCACCAAAAATCCAGTTACCATAAATAAAATAACATTTTCTGCTGAATTATTTAAAAATTATTATTAAGAGAAATGTTCGTTAGATGGGAATTTGGCTAGGAAACTATAATTTTAGATAGAGAAAATTTCACTAAAATATGATGATATGTTTCACCTGAAACCAAGAAAATATCAATTTTAAGTGAAATGGTCACAATATATGAAAAAAAGATGTCAGTTTAAACTGATGCCATGAGCATGCAGGTTAATCATTGGCCAAATTAGATGACAAAGTGGTAAGATTTAGAAAAATTGATAAACATCTCCTGCAACAATGCACATTATATATATATGAGTTAAAAACAGCAAGGTAAAAGTGTGCTTTTTTCTTTTTTTTTTTTTTTTTAATTAATTTTAAAACTGTATCAAAAGTTCTACACTGGGTGACCATTTCACAGTCAGTCTCAAATTGTTCCTTGTAATAAACAAGTGTCAATAACTACAGCTCTTCAAAATGGGAGGTAAAAAAATTGCAGTTTATATATGAAGGCATGTTTGTTTCTATCTTTTTTTCCTTTAAATATTGATAAATTTTGTTTCTGTCTTTTTAAATAAGATTTAAAAAAAATGCAATTAAAGCAGGAAGCTATAAATCAATTGGCTTTGTGTTCAGGATGATTTTTAAGAAGAGAAATGAATTTGCTAGGCTCCATCTTCCTTTGGCATATATGGTGGACTGCGACAAACATTGGACACCTGCAAAATAGAACAAAGAAACCAAATTCAAAACATTTTTACATGTTTTACATTACAGTCAGTTTTTTACAATTAAACAAAAACTTTGTTCAGTTTATTACAGTATTTGACAGCACAGAAATATTAAACACTCTCCCACCCTGCTATCTCAGCATACCCAGGAAAAAGTGTTTCAGCGTATTTAAGAATATAAAGCAAGCTACCATAACAAAATATTAAAAACAACTTCAGCTATAACAAAAACATTACTGTATATAAAAAGCAAGTTAGCAATAAAGCTAGGGCCAGTGTGTATTATGTTGGTTTACTTCTTCCTAATTTTCAAAACTGCTTTTAGGGGATGCTCTCAGAACTATAAATACCCTGAAATATTTTTCTTATTCTCTTCTAACCTCATCTGCTTATTCATCAACATGTAACCACTCGCAGAGAATGTGCTTCCCTTTGTGAAATTCATGAACAATACATACACACACACACACACACACACACATATGCATATTCACTCACTATACATACTTTGGCCCAATAAAGGTTTTCACATTCTTTTGTTACACACATCATTTGAGGGCTTGAAAAATTTGACATTCACAGGACATATTGGAAAAACCATGAGTAACCTAACAATATTTCAATTGGGAAACCATGAGTAACCTAACAATATTGTATAAATGGTTGGCTGTACAGGTTGAGTAGGGGTGGTGAAAAGGCAAATCTTAAAAAAATAGGAAGTCATGAAGGGCCATGATCACTCAAGTCCTGAATGGACAAGGCACAAAGAAGATTGTTTGTGCCTGCAAGCTTCAAAGTGGAGATGTGTAAATCAAGCAAGTTCAAAAATTTATTTGTGGGAAGTGTTACTACAGACATGTGAGACCGAAATCTGAAGATGCATTAGGTTTGTTTTGTTTTGTTTTTATGGCATATCAATATAGGTGTCATTTCAAGACAAAACTAGAGTTTAAAAACCGAAACAAATCTGCATTATTCCACTTCCAAACAATGCTAATTAAACTAAATACCGTATTTACTCTCGTATAAGACGCATTATTTTTTATTTTTAAATGTACCAAAACCTATTCTGTGCCTGATGCAGCTGTATTACAGATGGGAAGCGATCAAGTGTTGTACCAGTAGACTAGGGTGTCTGATGCGCCTGAGTCCGCATGGCATAAAAATTGTTTTGTTTTTTTTTTTATTATTTTATTAATAATGTGTGATTGTCGTGAGCAAAATACGTGACATCATACCTGAAAACGCCCACGCATTGCATGCGTATGGTGTCCCAAAGCAGTTGGAGGAAGAAAGAATTGGTGGAGTGCACCTACACATATGTAAAACTCTCCCATTCAACCAATCGGCTGCTTCGTCATGGTCTATAAAATGAGCGTGTCGGAAGGCTTTGGCAGTTGGGGTCGAGGGAGCCAAAAAGGATGACGGAGACAACTGCCCTGTTCCAGTGGGTCCTTTTTGACGTGATGGCTACATAATGTTCACCCAATACAAGAACCAAGAGTCACTCAAGATAGGGGGTTACTTTGTGGTGTTGTATGAGTGTAAGAAAAGGCATGAACTGAAGTTCTTGGGGCTGTGTAGGATAGATAACAGTTAACTCTAGACTTAAAAATGTCAAGATTAAATTAATGAATAACATTTCAGAGTTCAGTCAGAGACGTTAGAAATATAGTGGGGAAGTAAACTTTAAAAGAAACCGGAAACCTAATCCTTAAAAGGAAATAACGGCTAAGCCTCTACTCCTGTTCAAAAGACGGGGGGAGAAGTGTGAACAGGACGATAATAAAATATTGAAAATAAATCAAATTATTTAAAATGGAATGATCTATTATGACGTGCCTCTAATTTGTTTTCAGATACATTGTATTTATTTTCAATTTTTCTACTTGAATTGTTCACCTTTATTACATATGATCCATTATTATACATAGGTTACAGTAAAATTTGTATTTTATGTGAATGCTACCTTATCTGTGTATAAATTTAAAGATGCTGCCCTATGTACAATGGGAAGGGGGAGAATGATATAGATTAACAGGAAAGGACTTCTTAAAAAAATATTACACTGTTTTTCTTTATTCTTCCACTGAAAAGCAAGAAATATTAAATTTATGCTTTAAAATACAAAGGAAATTGTCGAAAATTTGTTAGAACAAGGAAGGTAACTCAAGATTTGTATAGGCTTTTATCTTTTTTTGAAAGCTTTTCTTCAATGCTGATGAAAATATCAATGAAAATCGGAGCTTCTAATGAGTATATGTCTGAAAAAGCTTCAATCTAACTGAATTTCACTTCAGTTGGATATGAAATATAAAATGTTACACTTGTGGAAAAACTGACAGTAAAGGTAAAAGAATTAAGATGATGTTATTTTTTTAATTGTTTCACTCCAAGCAAGGCAATAAAGCCACTAAGATGCAAGGGGTTACTGAATGCGAAAGAATATGAGAAAAAGAAAATAATATTAAGGAGAGAAAACAAAGAACAAAAATTAAGAAGATGGAAGAGAACAATTTACATTACATTTAAATTTTTGAAGATCAAACTTGACTGAGAAGCAGAAAGCCAGAAGAATGTTCCACAAACAAGAAGTGTGATAGAAGGAACTATTAGCATAGAACCTACGGTTTCAGCTCGACATTTCAACTCTAAAATGAAGAAACCTTGCCACAAATCTCATACTGCACTTAAATTCATCAAGTCTAGGTACCATCAAGGAAAGGGCAATGTAAAAGTAAGGTTCAAACTCTGGAAAACTCTGAAATCAAAACCTTAGGAGTGTCAAACGAGAGACACTATGTGCACCAGTTCTCTGTATTCAGCATGGCCAGTTCTGCACAAATCTTCACCACTGTAATTAAATCCTATGTGTGGATAATCTAGCTTATCGGTTCTAAGAACTGACATACGAATCCATCATATATATTAGGTATATCAGTAAGTCTGTTGTCTGATAATAAAAAAAAAGCATTTATTTTGTACTGCAAATATTTCTTTTTCTTTGTTAACTTAAAATTTCTCTGTTTATCATGTAGATCAGTGGTTCTAAACCTTTATTGAGTTACATAACCTGATAAGAACTAGCGAATAAAGAAAACAGTAACCAGCGAGTAAATTCAAGCTCTCCCAGCTGGTATTTCAACCTTGAGTCGTTCCTTCTTGAGTTCTGTCTCCAAATCACACTAACTGCCCGTTCTTGCCGTCAACTGTGAACGTCCCTCGAAGAACTCCCCGACTCGGAAAAAAGTAGTTGCTTTTATAGTTGTTCATATACCCATAATCCCTTGCGTCTTCATGTGATCCCATAATTCATTGCATCCATGTCCCATAATGCATTGCATCGTCATTGCATAAAAATGCAATGCCAGTCCCCCCTCATTCTTTTACGTTATCTGGCCGAGGAGGGATTACGGCAGAGCGGTAAGTGCTTTTTTTCTCTCCCTCATTTCAACTACAGTAGCTTTACATGCTAAGCAAATACAGGCTCTTTTTTGGCAGGGACAAGGCAAATCGCGACCAGTTGTGCTCGTCCCAGGTTCTGTCTCATGTCCGCCACACCTTCATAGACAAGCAGATACTGATTGATTTTTCACACTTGCATTTCTCCATACTGCACCCTCATGCACACTAAACCCACATCATTTTTCAGTCAGCCATGCTTGCAAGAAATTCTGGTCAATTAATCCTCACCAGTATATGAGAAGATAATCCAGCAGTGATAAACCGTGGAAAAATGAGAATTATCATTTGATCTTATAGAGTGGTAAAAGATGGCAGTCATGCCAAGAATGATCCCACACATTTGAAAGGTAAACAATAGACTCAACAGCAAGTCAAGAGATGCCGAGCGGTCGTCACTGTAAGTAGTGGCTGGGTGCGTTTTCTTTCAAGCAGTGTTTTGTGATGTCAACGAACACTTGTTGCCACTTTTGTGATGTCAACGAATACTCGTCTTCACTTTCATAAATGCTTGTTGTAGTAGAGACTTTTAATCGTAAATACAACTATAGTACACCGTTGAACAATACTGGCATCAGACACCTTCGAATAACCCTTGTACTAATAGTACTTGCTCAATAATACTCACTCAAATAGTAGCCAGTCTATAGTAAACTGGATAGAGAAATAGTATAATGAATAGAGTAGAGAGGTTCGTATAGTAATGGAGGATAGAATAGAAATAAAGATCCGAATAGTAATAGAATAGAAATGCAGATATAAATAGTAATAGAGGATAGAATAGAAATAAAGATCTGAATAGTAATTGTTGTAGAGTGAATGCAAAGTTTTATTTTTTCCATATGAATCCAAAATACATTCATCGCCAAGTGTTGTATATGGCAAAACAATTTTTTTTTTTCCGTATGAGAAACGAATCCCTCGTTGCCAAATGTGTTGTAGAGTTGTTCTCACAGTGGAGGCTTGTATTTCACTAAGTCGGTCCTAAACAGTGTTCAACGTACAAAACGTTAGGAACTTGAAATAATAGTTAATGACGCAGCAATCTAGTTGTGGTCATTGATACTTCAATGTCCGACATCGACTGACTCACTCAACTCCACTGAGCCCAACAGGCGACCGCTACTACTACTACTTATTATGTGTGGGAGAGTCTATTACAATAGAATAGGTAATGTTCCGGTATAACAGTAATAGAGGATAGAATAGAAATAACGATCAATTAGATATCATGCAACTTCCTATTTATGCATTTTCTCTATAGTCAAGTGATCTACTTAATTCAGTAATGGAATCACCTGTGTTTGCTCACTGGCGATCTATGTTCAAACTCAAGTATCAGCAGTGACACTTTATTCCTATATAACACAGTGGCAGGATGAACTTTCTTTTGTTTCTTTCAATGGGTTGGTTGGCTTGTTTTGTTTAGCCTCATACCAATCTCTAAGGGTTATTTAATGCCAAAATCTAAACATTTTGAACATAATTTTATGGCCTCAACTGAATATCTTTTGAATGCAATTGTA